TATGTAATGGGTTGCAAGGCTGGAAGGAGGTATTAAATGTGAAACCAGAAGGGTTCAAATTCCAGCTTGCTACTAACTACCTATGTGACCATGGGCAAGTCTCTTCACTTCTTTAGGCTTCTGTAAAATGAGAGTATATAGGGATGGGGAACCTGTGGCCTAAAGGCCACATGTGGCCTTCTAGGTCCTCAAGTGCAGCCCTTTGACTGAATCCAAACTTCACAGAACAAATCCCCTTAATAAAAGGATTTGTTCTGTGAAACTTGACCCAGTCAAAAGACTGAACCCAAGGATGTAGAAGGCCATGTGTGGCCTAGAGGCCATAGGTTCCCCACTCCTGGATCATCTAGTCATTAGATGATCTTTAAGGTTTCTTCTAATTTGAAAAGGGTATGATCCAAGTTAGCCTGAGTGGCTCTGACTCTTTGTGATCCCATCTAGGGTTTTCTTGGCAAAGATACTGGAGTGGTTCGCCATTTTCTTCTCCAGCTCATTTCACAGATGAGAAAACTGAGGCAAACAGAGTTAAGTGAATTGCCCAGGGTCACACAACTAGTAAGTTCCTTAGGCCAGATTTGAACTCAGGAAGATGAGTCATCCTGATTCCAAGACCAGTGCTATATCTACTGGACCACCTAGTTGCCCCTGAGAGGCTCTAGCTAGGGCAACTACTGCCACAATGTTTTCCTGGCTTCTTTGAATGACTTGCAGGTTTCTGAGACCTTTGACCTCAAACTTTGAGGATGGCCTATAGACTCCTTAGGCACTAAGACTGACTTTGTGACCAAGAACTATGCTTCTACATCTGTGTTCTCTTAGTGGAATCGCAGAATCTGACAGTTGGAAGGAGGGATCTCCCTGCCCATCTGCTCTAATAGATACCTGATAGAAATCCCATTATAAATTACTTAGCAAGGGGTCACCCAGAATCTGCTTGAAAGACCTCTAAGGATGGGGGATGGGGACCCCATAACCTCTAGGGCAGGCCATTCCACATTTGGCTAGTTCTAAATGTTAAAAAGTTTTTCTTGACATCAGGCCCAAATTTGCTGCTTTTCAACCTCTACTCATTGCTCCTGGTTCTGTCCTCTAGGGCGCAACAGAACAAGATGAGTCCCTTCTCCACACAATAGCCTTTAAAATATTTAAAGGTAACATGTCTCCCCTGAATCTTCTCTTTAAATGTGCCTATTTGAACATGCCCAGTTCCTTCAATTTGTCTTCATGACATGGACTTGTCCTCCTCAGGACACTTCCATTTTTATCAATTATCTACTTAAACTGAACCCAAGGGGAGGGCAGAGTATAATGGGACCATCACCACCCTATTCCTGGAAGCTATAGCTCTTTTAACGCAGCCCAAGATTGAATTAGGTTTTGTGCTTGACTGCTACAATATATCACCGACTCTTTAAATTTTTGTCCACTAATACCCCTAGATCTCTTTCTGAACAATAGCTATCTAGCTGCACTTTCCCCATCTTGTATTTGTGAAGTTGAGTTTTTGAATTTGAGTATAACACCACATTTATCCCTATTGTACTTCATCAGGTTCAGCTCAATGCTAGCCTATCAAAATCTTTTGGATCTTGTTTCTATTGTCTCATGCATTGTTAGCTATCTCTCCCATTTGCCATCAATAAATTTGATGAACATGCCGTTTATAAGTCATTTATAAAAATGTTAAACATTATAAAAATGTTAAACAGCAGAGATCCTGGGGTACTCCACTGGAGATCTCCTGCCTCCTGACATTGAACTATTAATAATCAACTACTCAGATTCCAGCCATCTCACCAGATCTGAATCTATCAAACTATCATCACCTTCTCCAGATGAATAGCATGAGATACTTTAGCTTTGCTAAAATCTAGGCTTTTGATTGCGCTGAGAAGTAAATTGACAGGACAACAGAGACACCCATGCTCAAATATAAGTATACAAAAAGATTCCAAAGACAGATATTTGGAGTTGGTGGTTATATGCCTCTGGGAACTATCCTCACTTTTATTCTTTTCTATTTGTCTGAATAATTTTAAAATATTGACTTCTAATGTAAAATAGACCCAAGAACCATAGAGAGAAAATATTGAAATATGTCAGAACTATAAACATAGATTATAAATTCCTTGAGGGCAGAGACAATTCTTATTTATCTTTGTAGCTCCATCAGTGCCTGACACAGAAACCAAAATATAATAGGTACTTAATATGTGTTGACTTCAAGACATTTATTAAGTTACTGACTCACTTCAGAGAATTTTGCTAGATGACAAAAAAGATACAATATTTAGATAAGACTTGGTTCCTGCCTTTATGGATCTCACTGTCTACTAGGCATCTCAAATTCATTATGTTCCAAACAAAACTCATCATTTATTTCCTTAAACCTATTCTCCTTCCAAATTTTCTTATTTCTGTTGAGGGCACCACCACCCTTCCAGTCACATAGGTTTATAACCTCAGAGTCACTCACTAGAGCTCCATCTCCTTTGTTACCTACATCCATTCAGTTCCCAAGTCTTGTTAAATCTCACTCCACAGCATCTCTCACATCTGTTCCCTTATTTCTATTCATTACAACCATAGTAGTTCAGGTCCTCATCATCTCTCACCTGTGCTATTTCTGTAGACTCCTAATTGGTCTCCTTGCTGTAAGCCTTTCACCTCCATCCTCCACAAGGTTGCCAAAGTGATTTTCCTAAAGTGTAAGTCTGACTGTGTCATATTCCCCCCATGCTCAATAAGCTCTTTGGCGATTGCCTCTAGGATCAAAGGCATATGCCTCAGTTTGTCATCTAAAGATCTTCCCAAAGGTCTCTAATCTAACTTTCTAGGCTTATTAGGTGGTTTCACTTCACATAAAAATTTCATTTATCTTAACTAGATAAGTACCATGAGATGCAAGTCTATATAAAACTTGATTAATTGCATTATTAATATGAACAAGACACTCCATCTCTCTGCTCTCCACATTTTCTCTGGCTATCCCACATATCTTCCTCCTCATTTCTACCTTCTGGCTTCCCTGGCTTCCTTTAAGGCCCAAATAAAAAGTCTTGTCTTCTACAGGAAGCCTTTCCCAACCCCAATTAATTCTAGTGCCTTCCTTTGTTTAATTATTTCCTTTTAATCTGGCATATAGGTTGTTTATAGATGTGTAGCTATCTATCTATATGTGTGTGTATGTGTGTGTGTGGGGGGGTGTGTGTGTGTGTGTTGTCCATTAGATTGTGAGTTCTTTGAGGGAAGGAACTGTCTTCTTCCCTCTTTTTATACCCCCAGCACTGGCACATAGTATGGCATGTAGTAATAAATATCTATGACTGTCAAAATACTTTCCCTTGAATGACTGAATGAATGTACAAATGAGGGTGGGGCAGGAGTCCCTATGGAAGACATAAGTAGCAGTCTTGCCTCTCCAAGAGAGTTGAATTGAGTGGAGGAAAAACCACTGTGCCTTTTCTCAAACATCATCCTTCTTGATTTTCTGCAGCTTTTGACGCTGGTAAACACCTTCTTCTGCTTACTATTCTCATTTTTTCTAAGTTTTTCTATCTCTCAGTTCCTGATATTTTCACTCACCGTCTCCCATGCTTAGAATGTTCTTCTTTCTCTTCATTTCAATGTTCCCTGATTTGCTCCAAGTGCCAGCTAAAATCCAACCTTCTACCAGAAGCCTCTCCCAATTAATTTTTGTGCCTTCCCTCTGTTATTATTTCCAATTTATTCTGGATATAGCTGTTTTCTACATAGTTGTTTGCATGTTGTCTTCTCCATTAGACTGTGATTTCTTGGACAGCAGGGTCTAATTTTTTTTTTTCATTTCTTGTATCCCTAGTGCTTAGCATAGTGACTAGCACATAGTATGTACTTAATAAACATTGACACTGCTAGGAAAGTTGGCAAATTGGGCGGGGGGGGGAAGATTGGCACGAAGGAGCTGGGGTGAGGGTGAGGGGAAGAAATACCTTCTTGTATCAACTATCCTTATGAACAAAGTCACAAGAAACTTGGTTGTTTCTCTCTTTTGGTAGTGCAATGCTTGGCAATGCTCTTGAAATTTCAAGGCCCTGGGGGAAAAATCTCTTTATACCTTATACTAGTTACAGGTCTGAACCCTATAGCTGACCACAAAATGCTTCTTAGGTAGTGAGGAAGTGAGGTTAGTTGTTCTCATGAAAATTATACACTTGAGGACTAGAGCAAATATACTACTCACAGTCCCATGGTGTAGAAAGCAGTCAAGGAACCATTTTTTAAAGCTTAATTGCATATTCCAATCAGGATTATTGTCTCTCTCCTTCTCCCTCCCTCTGTTCCTAACTGTGTTCCTCCCATTCCCACACATGAGAATCATGAGACTATTTCATTGACACTCGAATGATGTTAGGCCTTAAGAAATACAATGTGACTGCCAAGCTCTCATTAAGTCTGGATAATGGGACTATTTGGGTCTTCATATCCTGCGGTGTATAGAAGTATTTATAGACCTGCTACTCTCTGTATGTTGTTTTCTGGTAATAATTACATTGATGCTGTGACATTATAATCAATGTGGGCATTTTCCTCTCTTCTGACTAACTTGAGATTTGTATTTTGAACAATGAAAGAGCTTGAATACGAATAGCTTGGAGAAAATGGGGCAAACTATGAGCGCTACAGGGGCAGTTAGGTGGTGCAGCAGATAAAATGCCAGGCATGGAGTCAGGAAGACTCATCTCCCCAAGTTCAAATCCAGTCAAGATTGTGTGACCCAGAGCAAGTCGCTTAACTCTATTTGCCTCTGTTTCCTCATCTGTAAAATGAGCTGGAGAAGGAAATGGCAAACCACTCCAGTATCTCTGCCAAGAAAATCCCAAATGAGATCACGAAAAATAGGACACAACTGAAAATGACTGATCAACAATAACAAAAATGAGGGCTATACAGATTGATGCAGAGGAAATCCAAGTAACCTCCCAAGCATTAGGTTTATATACTTGGCTTCTCCCTTCCAGGGTACTGCTGGATTGCTGGGCACAGCTCCCATTAGCCTGTTTTTTTCCTCTGGATACAAGGAGGAGAGGGCCCTGGCCTCTGAGGTATGTCTGGTTAAAATGAGAACTTTAAGATGTCTCTCCCTTGTAGTTTTGGTTTAAATAATGGGGCATTAGGGACTCAGAAGCCATTCATTCATTGCCTTAAGGATCCAAAGCTGGTTACAAGGTATAAAAAAGAAAAATTCCAAGTGGCTTCCTGTCATCATTTCTGCCCTGGAGTTGCTGACGAGGGAGTATTTATTTTCCTTTGCACTGAGAGGTTACAAACCAAATACGAGGCTAGAATGATTGTATCATAAAATGAGCCCTCGCCAGACTGGAGTCAAGAAGTACTAGATTGGGGCATTCTAGAGGGAAATCTGCATTACTGAGCTGGTTACCAAGTTTTTGTTTTTTTTTAATTAAATGACAGAGCTATCTGGCTTTGGTTTAAGATGAAATTTCAAGTCAAGTTCACAAACATTTATTAAATTCCTATCATGTGTTAGGTACTGTGCTAAGCTGTGGGGATACCAAGGAAGCTAAAAATAAAAGTCCCTGCTCTTAAGGAGCTCATAGCCTAGCAGTGGTGAGAAACCTGCGGGCCTTGACGCTACATTTGGCCCTCTAGGTCCTCAAGTGCTGCCCTTTGACTGAATCTAAACTTCACTGAACAAATACATTTAATAAAAGTATTTGTTTTGTAAAACTTGGAGTCAGTCAAAAGACTGCACCTAAGGACCTAGAAGGCCACATGGGGCCTTGAGGCCCACAGGTTCCCCACCCCTGGATGGGGGAGATAACATGCAAACAACTAGGTACAAATAAGATATGTGTTTGTGTGTGTGTGTGTGTGTGGTGTGTGTGTGCATTTATAGGCATATAAATATGTGTGTGTGCATTTATATGCATATAAATATGTGTGTGTACATTTATATGCATATAAATACGTGTGTGTGCATTTATATGCATATAAATATGCATATATAAGTACTGGGGGGAGGATAGTTGGGTTTCTTTGGAGGATATGACCCATATGTAAATAATAACAATAATTGTTAATAATCAATAATAATACATCTACTTAGTGCTTTAAGATTTGTAAAGTGCTTTACAAATATTTTTTTCTCACAACAGAGGGGCAGTTAGCTGCTATTATTATCTCCATTTTATACATGAAGAAAGTAAGGCTGACAATAGGTTAAGTAACTTGCCCAGAGTCACATAACCAATAAGTGTGTGAGGTAGGATTGGAACTCATGTCTTCCTGACTCCATGTCCTGCCAGTGACACATACTGGCTGCGTAACCAGGGACAAGTGAGTCCTAAGTAATCCACTAAGACGAGAGGGGGCAGTAAAGGTACTGATGAGGAAGGTTCCTAGTATCAATGGAATCACAAGCCCAGTTGCTACTAACTGTAAGGGAAGCCAGGAATGTATAGGACCCAGAAAGGGAACTGAAATGATGACCAAATGATGGGTAGGCCCTGCCTGGAGTGAGAGGCCATCAGAAAACAAGGCCCAGTGTTCAAGGGGAGAACTGGGGCCTGAGTTAAGAGTGGGTCAATGTGTTTGAAGTCCTCAAGTGAGCTTGACTAGGCTGGGAGACTCAAGAGACAGGAAAAGATGTAATAAAAAAGAAAGAATGGGTTTAAAGACATAATTAATATCCCACATAATAAAAGTGGTTGAATAATGAAGAATTAGAGCATATCTATCAAATTGTTGTGAACTTAATACCAAATTATGTAAAATAAGGAATTAGAGTAAAAGAAAGACATATTAAGTGGTTTTTAAGTTTAAAAGTTGGAAAATTAATTGTATAAAAATAAATGTGATTATACATACACATATACACACATAGGTACATATATACATATATACATTATACACATATACATGTGTATATATATTTATATATACATATACTTACACACACACACACACACACACACACACACACACACACACACACACACATATAAAAGATGTAACAAGCAAGTGGCCTGGATAGGCAGAGGCTTTGATAAGGAACTGAGAAAGCTATGGACAACCTTGAGTAAGCCTTCCTCTTCTTTCTTTTTCGATTTCTGAGAACCCAGATAAACACCACCCTCCTCTCCTTGTCCTTCCCCACCCCCATGGCATTTTCTATGGCCACCTGATAATTCTGAGAGATTCTCCTTCTACCCACTTTCCAGACTATCTTGTGAGGGGAAGGATCTCCAGATGTCTACCAAGCCAATAGGTTGTCAGAATTCCCTCTCCTAAGGAGAGCTGTCAATGCTACCTATATTCCCTGTAAGCTATGGAACCATTTAGATGGACTCATAGCCCCAGGAAAATTGTTTGTGCCAATATTGCCTAGCCTCTGCTTGTCTTTTTGCATGGGTAAGTTTGAGTTGATGGATAACTCACAAGCAAGGCTTGGGTGAATTCCTGAGTACCCTCTGATATACTGTAGTGAAGGGGTTTTGTGAAGTTATTAGGATACCAGGGCAGAGTATAACCAAGGGATAGACATAAACTATTTTACATCCTTGGTAAGGCTGGGCCAGTTGAACTTGGGTCTTACCTATTAGTCACAGGAATGCAAGAGCTCTTTGCCCCTTTAAGCTCTTGGGTCACTTATTACCTCAACTGACCCTACCTGGACAGTGACTCCCTCTAACTGAGCCCTGTGAGTCATGAGTCAGGAGGGCTTCCTTAATTGCGGTTTCCTTTGCAGATGAAGGGAGTACTAAACTTCAGGGGGAGATAGATGCCCCCTGGTGTCAGGTTCATTCACTTATTAGATGTTGACTTTGAAATTTTAAAATGGGGCAGACCCATGTTTTCCTGTTTCAGACAATTGAAGCAAAATGTATGTGTATGTGTAAAAAAATTTTTGTGAAAGGAATGAAATTTATATGGACCAGAAAACCCAAATTCTTCTAGGAATAAAAGAATGATAATAGATGTGGCAGTAAAATGCAAATATTTTATGGATGATGATGATGATGAGGTAAAGAAAATATCTGAGGGTTTAGGGGAGCACTACCATTGAGCATAAAATATCAGTATTAAAAAAATAAGCTGTACTCTTGATGAATGAAGGAAAAAGTATTTATTAAGTACCTGCCACATGCCAGGTGCTGTTTTAAGCCCTGAGGAAACAAATTTTCATGTAGAAAGTAAGATAGTTTTTACCCTCAAGGGCTTGTATTTTAATAGGGAAGATGAGCTTTATATAGTTGTAGCCCCTCTCTTGCTAGGTCTGCCCCTCCCCTGCCTGGTATGTGGAGGGGTGGAGCTTTGGCCCTGTTGGGTGGTGAGTGAGAAAGGTAGCCTGAAACAAGAAGTGATGAGATGGGGGAGCAGGTGAGAGATGCTGGGTCTCCAGGTCAGAGAGGTGACAGTGTGGTACATTCCCGCTCCCTGGGATTCGCTGCCCAGAGTACCAGTTTTTTACCCTGCTTTATAAGCAATGAACTAAGCTGCTCAAGAAGCAGAGGTCCCTTAACAGTGACGGGCACCAAACAGGCAAACTTCAAACCTTAGAGCCAAAACCAGAGTCCAGAGTCCCTGAGTCTTAATCTGAAGACTGGCCCCACTAGTTTCATGAGTCAGACCATCAGTTGCCTATACTTCTTTTTTCTGTTCATAGGAGGAGCACCCACGGGGTTCCAGCAAAATAAATTAGGTTTAGTGTGGCCTAGGCACTATCTAGAAACCTTCTGTATCTAGGAATGCTGGGGATGGAATTGAAAGTTGTTTTTTTTAATTGTGTATTACTTATTGATTCTATGCTAAAGATAAGGAGCTGCATGTAGATAAGGAGATTTTGTTTGCTCCTGTGGCTTCCTTCATTATGCTAAAGTCACACGATGGGCTCAGTAAAATATAGTTAGTTGAGGGACGGGTGTTATGAGGGCTCAGAGGTGATTCTGATTGGGCAGATCTACAATAATCCACATCTCATAGATAATTCCATGGGATTACCCAGAGAGAGGGAAGCTGGGGGATGGAAGGTCACGGACTCTCTGAGAGCCACAGAGAAACTTGGTATTTCCTTGGCACTCCTGCCCAGTGGGTTAAAGCACCACAGCTGCCAGGGTGAGGATGGGACTGACCTAGTTTCTAATCCTTGTTATGATAAAGGATTAGGATAGGGGTTGTCAGTGCTACCTGGTGGTGATGCAGTGCTTTGCGTCGAAGCTTACGGCGTTCATTACAAATCTTGGTATTCCCTTTCTGCCTCTAACATGACCTTCTTTCCTCCTCTTCTCTCCACCTGCTTGCTTCAGGCCCTGCCTTCTTCCTAGGTGTTGCTTCTAACTTTCTGTTCCCCACATTGGTATTGTCTTCCTATCTGGTGTCTGCTTACAGTCCCAAATTCTGTTTCACATTCCTTGGATCTATGTTTGACTTGAGGAGCCAGCTTTTTCCTCTATCCTTTTTTTCTTTCAGGATTTACTCCTGAGATCTGGGTTTCAGTCCCGACCCTGACACTTATTAGTTGTATCAAGTCACAACCTTTCTGAGCTTCAGCTTCTTCATCTGTAAGATGAAGGAAGGAACAGATGTCTTCTGCTTCTTCTTCTTCAGAGGCAATTGGGATTGAGTGACTTGCCCAGGGTCACACAACTAGAAAGTGTCTGAGGTTGGATTTGAATTCAGGATCTCCTAACTGCAGGGCCCGTGCTCTATCCACTGTTCCACCTAATTGCCCTAGAACAGATGCCTTCTAAAGTCTCTTCCAGCTCTAAATCTATGATTCTATAACCCTTTGATGGTGAGAAATCCTTTTCCCCACTTCACATATCATATTTTAGATGCCTCATTATTCTAAGATCTAGAACATCATGGTATAACGGAAAGTGATCTTCCTTTGATTAGCTGTGTGACCGTGGCCAAGTTACTTTATCTCTCTAAGCCCTCATTTCCTCATCTATCAAGTGAGGATAATTATTGTAGGGTTATTTATTTCATAGAGTTGTGAGTATCAAATGAAATAATGGAAGTAAAGTACTCGGTAAATGAGTGTTACACAAGTGAGCTATGCAAATTATAGTAGCTCACA